TATAATAATAAAAGTAGAATGAAATATTACGCAAAATTAAAAATTATAGGTAACTTTAACACTTAGCTTTATTCAATATTAATGTGTCCCACTTGAATTAAGTGATTCCAAGATCCTTTATTCGTGTAATAATTCACCGGACTTTGGCCCTACCATCAACCATTACATTTTCAAGGTGAGTAAACTCTTTATTGATTACAACTCTTGTAACTCTTGGTTGAATAATTAACCATCTCATGTTTAGTTATTACCCTTTGCTTCAAGGTTCTAAACTATTTAGGTAACATTAAACTCTTTAGGTAATCTTGTTGAGCACAACCAATTAAAATTGTATAACTTTATTTACCCCAAGTTACGTAAGATATAAAAATGACACTCAGCTTTCGCATGACCCATCGATCATTAATTATCAAAGGGTTGTTGGGTTTTTAATTGGAAAAACAATTTCAATATTACAGAGACCTAGATTTATTATGTTGTGATTAATTTAGTGAACTCTAGCGCAACATCAACAACATCAATAAAAACTATCATGGATAATATACTGAATGCATAAACAAGACATTGCATGACCCCTAATCCTAAGAAAAGTAATAAAGTAAATGCTCCCACTTGAATCTTCATGGATCTCATCCACCTTGCTCCTTTAGACCTTCACTTCATGGGCTTCTTGGATTAACTGTAACTTGTAATTCTACTCTATTCTATTTACTACATAAATAAATAAAATTACAAAAATACTTTATCGGTATGCAAACCTTACTCAGATTACAAAAATACATCACGATGCGCAGATCGTATTTATTAGTAATCTACTGAGCCATATTAGCCATTAAATAGCAACATAATATTATTTATATTATAAAATTGTCACATAATAAATATCACGTAAAGATGTTTGCCAAAACTGCAACATTGAATGTTCATAATTAAGGAAACATGGTACCAAAATATCACATATTTTAATTTATAATTAGATAATATCATATATTAATAATGATGACCATCAATAAAATATTATATATTTTAAATTAGGCATAGATAGAACCAATTTTTATTTTAATCATAAAGATGAATCATATTTATCTTTAGAGAGATTATACTAACAAATTTAGGAGATTCTATCCTAATTACTAGCCAATCACAAAATTTTAAATTAATTACCTAACTAATTACGAATAATCACATTACCAAGTCAATCTTTATCTTTTAGAATCTTTCTCAATAATCCTTAAAAAAAACTCATAGTATTAAAACAAATTTTAAAATTTGAAATTATCTTAGATAAAATTAATTTTTTTTCTAAAATTAAAATAAAACAAATAATTTTAATATATTTTTAAATTTGCTAACACATCAGCCAGGGAAAGACCTAAACCAACGCAACAATAGCCAATAGCTTCCGCACGTTAGTCATGTAAACCTAACCGATGCTCAACCACAACAAGAAATAGAGCCCAGCCACGGTGCAACCTGCGGCTACCTATGAACCGTTCCAGCCAGCCACCTTCTGCCTGGAGTCGTCCTTGTCGTCCGAGGGCTGTTGTCGTCCGTCATAGCTAGGAAGGAGCCCAACCACTAGCAGAACGCTCTGGTTGCAGCTTGCGGCAGTGTAACGGTTGCAATTCCTTGCTGCTGCCTGTTGCCGCTCTCCCTCGTGCGCCCCTTCTTCGACCACCTAGACAGCCACATTGGATCATGTGATGGTGGCTCTTTAACCTAGCCACGGCTGCCCCCTCTCAAAATTAAAATCCTCCCCCCCCCCTTTTTTTTGAGATTTAATGTAATTAAACAACTTTTATAAAATTAAATTAAATTGGGTCCTTTGAATTAAAACATTACATTTATGCCTAATTCAACTTTGAAATTAAATTCATAATTCAATTTTAGAGTTCTCCATAAAATTAATTCAAATTCAATCTAACACTCAGATAAAATTATTGATTATACAAAAACAAAACATATTTTATGTATCAAATCAATCCAATTAAATATATGAAGCATAAAATATTCAAAATATATAAAAATTAAGCACGGAAATCAAAATTCAGGGCTTTATTTCAATCAAAATTTTCGACAAACTAGGGCTTAATTAAGATTTTGCTCGGAAAATTAAGCAATTAAATCACATTTAAAGAAATTCTAAACCTTTAAATCTCCATTTAAATTGAAACATAATTAAAATCCTCCCTCTTAATTGAATTAAAATTTTTGGACATCAAAGAATTTTAATCAATATGCGTAAATGCAAGAGGTTAACTAATAAAACTATAAGGTTTTAGGTACTCTAAGCGAAATTTCACGAATCATATTCGTTCGCACCTAAATAGGACCTACAAGCATAGCACATAAAAACGCATAATTCATACCTTTGACGCGTGATTTCCAATTAAGTTGCAATTAACTGTCAAATAGGGAGATGATAGAGTCCCAAACATTGCTCTTCTACTTAGTCCATGGGATAAGATCGGTTGAACCTCCATTACTGCTAGATAGTCAAGCACGAGCACTTCGAACCACCTTCTACAGAGAGGGGAGGATAAAACTGAGCCACGAACAACCAGTGCACGACCACTATCATGCACCACACGCGCCACTGGCGAGTGCAGACGTGAGAGAAGAGGAGAGAGTGAGTGCATGAGGATTTTAGGGTTTGATTGCTAGCTTGTCAATTCTCAATTAATTGCTAATTGTGTTGTATATCAAACCCTAGACAAAACCTTTATTTATACATCATATGTATAATTAGATTCCAAACCAACATACTACTCCTTCTTTAATCCCATATGGTCGGCCACTCCATGAGGCCCAATAATGGGATTCTTTCTTTTGTTCAATTCATACATCACCCTTTTGTGTGATCTTATAGGATCCATTCTATTGGGGTTTGACTATCCCAAATGGGCTTAACCCCCTTTGTTTTTGTTAGCATCAGTTTATCCTTTAATTGCGTAATCAAATAAAAATTTCATGCTCCTGAAGCAGAAGGGTCGAGTTTGGGGGTGGGGATGGTGGCTATTCATGGGGGAGGATAAGTAGGTTTTGGGATTCGAGGTGGGGGATCCCTGAAAGGGGTAAGTTTATGTGAGGCGGGTGGCCAGCAGCAACGGGTGCAGTGGCGGTGTAGGTGGTAGTGACGTGGTAGAAGAAGACATTAGACAGATATTGGGAAAAAATCCCAAAAAAAAACCCTGTAAAATAGGTTGTAGGTCACAAGAACCATTAAAAGAAAATAAGGGTCAAAGGTGAGATTGTTTTGGAAAAATTGAAGGTGAGATTGTTTTAGGTAGAATTTGTTATATACACTCAGGTGCATCGTACACCCAACTAACCCAAGGTTAGTTTATTCTTCTCATTTGATGATTAATTGAAAACCAATCATCAATGAAAACAAAATACTCATGGGTGTACGACACACCTGAGTGTATAAAACAACCTCTCGTTTTAGGAAGATAGAACAAATGTGGGATTAGCATTTTCCTTAAAAAGTGGTTATACATTCTTAAATAATCATATCTAGCACACTTTATAACGTACATTAAGAGAGCCCATTGCCCCATAGTACATTTAATATCTCAATTGTGGGTTTTCTCGCTACAAGTTCCAAATCTGGATAAAGGAGGAGGGTTTTGGTAAGCCAATAATAGCCAGTGTAAAACTTTATCACATCCCATGACATGAACCATGACAAATTTCATATTAAACATGACCCGATAATAACCCCAAACCTAATAATGACACAACTTAAACTTGACCTGGTCCATACTATAATCTGACCGGTAATGATGACTCAAAATTGACCTAAACTCAATGGACTTGACTCGAAATAGCCAGCTACAAGCTCAAACCTGATAGGATGCGTGACCTAACTAATCTCACACGAACATGACCCGACCAAAAACCTAAACCTATCAACATAGCCTAAATTGACTTGACCCGATTTAAACTCAGAGTGGAACACCCAAATTGAGAGGATTATAATAATGTTATGTTAATAAATAAAAGATTGATTAAAAATCTTAACCAAATTAAATAAATGACCGAATCTTATGTTCGAACTCAATGACATTTGTAAGAACAGGTTTGAGTTTGTTTATAAACTTCATGTAAAGTTTGCTCTAATTTTTAAAAACTAAGTACTTTTATAATTATTTGTATATCTTGTACATATACATGTTTGTAAAAATTGCACAAATTATTCATCATATATCGGCCATGACAATTGACCATTACCTTTTGATATAGAATGATTAACAAAATCATTGACAAAAATATAAAATTTGAGCTAACTCAGGCCTCGTTGAATTAATTCGATTCAAAATCGTTTAAACTAGAGCTTTCAACTAAAAATGCAAACGAGCATGTTCATAAACAAAACTTGAACATGGGAACTCTTAGCGCTCCAAGCTCGAACAAGAAATTAAAAGCTTGTTTGCTACTAATTCATATCAAGCTTAGCTCAAACTACTAACTAAAACTCTCCTCGACTGGAATCATTTCCAGTTGTACAAGCATGCAATGATGTAAGACGTGCTAACTGTTTTATTAGTGTCATACAATCCGACACAAGACAAATCCAAAAAACAAATAACAATGAATTACACCAGATAAGGAAATTAGTTAAATATGAAAAGATAAAAATTTGTTTTCTATAAACGAAGTATATATTATCCTTTTTCCAACAGCAAGAATAAGAAAAGAAATTGCGTCACACACACATCCTTTTCCATAACTGTGGGCTGTAGTATTAAAATAAAGTTCGCCGCCCAAATGACATTTTTTCATCAGAACCATCATTCATGACTCATTACCACATGTCATATTTTGTTTAATTAGTACATCAGTTAGATAGTTTTTCCCAAGTGGCCTATCTTTCAGTTTTTCTTCTTTGTACAATTCTTCTTCTGTTAAAGTAACAATGATACATTGTGTCAAAAAAAAAAAAAAAAAAAAAAAGTAAGAATGATACAAGGCACACAGTTTCTTTGTACTATCAACAATTAAAATAAATCATCCATTTATTTGCATATAATGGACATGAACAAACCGCCTTTTATGAAAAGAAAAGAAATCATAATGGGACTAGTAGTCTAGTATTACAAGTACACGGCACAAAGTAGTAGAGTGAGTAATGATTTGCTAGGTATTAGTAAAATATTACACAGGACTTATTAACTATGAAATTGAGCAACATAGCAACCAATTACTGTGGTTGAATTTATTTTCAGAGCATATATGAAAAATACAATACAAAGATTAATAAAAACGACTAAAGTAGAGCAACTGCAACATTAAGCTGATCGATTTTGATCTTGATTCTCTACAGAGCTCTCTTGTAATATTTCTCTTATCTTGATTCTATTTCAACCTAACATGTTTGAGTGAAGCTTCAAGTATGGTTATAGCCTTCAAATAATAGCTATAGCATTTGCTGCAATTTTGAGTTTTTGGATTCTCAGCAGATGACATCAAGTTACCTCTAAGCTCTAACTGTGTGGTTACCATGCAACGTATCACTGTATCAGGGTGAATGAAGCAAAATTCTCAAATTAGCCTCAAAATTCAAGTGATAATGTCTGCTGAGACAACGAGTATTATAATTATTGCAAGCAACTAAGAATTTCTGTGGTTTCTTTTAGCCGAGTGACTCGATAATCAGACTAGAAATAGATATTACCTAAATTTTCATCCCTGAATGGACGGCAACCACTCCTCCAATAAGATTTTCATATTCTACTTTCTGAAATCCTGCTTCTGCTATCATTGATGCAAACTTGTCCTGAAAAAGCGTACAAAGAAGACTTAGCTATGCAAAAATAATAACAGATTGAAAAAACTAGGACTAAAATAGCTGCATAAGTGCATAACAACCATGGCTACAACTCTACAAGTGCAGTACAAGAGTGATTAGGTCACTAAACAAAATATTCAATAGAATTTGTCCACCACTTATGTCAGCTAATGTGTAGCATAGCAACATTAATATATTTGTGTATGATTCATATTTTAAGAACCTGCAATGAGATGGTTTAATGCTAAATTTATTAAATTAAACAAAACTCATCCAGATGAATGAGAAATGAGATTTTACAAAGATCAAGTATATAGCTTAGCTTAGATATTAAAAATCCTAGGCAAAGCTCTAATGATGCATTCAAGTGACAAAACCCTATACAAAGGATAAGCAAAGGAATCAAAATTCATTTGCATATTTGATACTTCCTTTGTTTCTCAAATTTTTTACTTTCATGTTTTGGGTCTACGCAGCAAGCAACAAACTTAGTCCCAAAATGATTTGGGGTCGGCTAACATAAATTGTTTGTGAGCACCGCTTTTTTTGGTATTCATAGTCAGTGAATGTAACTTTGTGGCATTCACTACAAGCCCAAATAAAGGAGGAGAGTTGCAGTAGGTCTGTGGTGGCCAGCGTAAAACTAAGTCACATCTTATGAGCATGAATTACAAATATTAATTATATTAGAATAAATTAATATAAAGAAATACATCATAACAACATTTATTTTCACATATTAGTGAATAAAATGTTGTTATAAACTTGTACATAAACAGTATTAAAAGTCAAAGTGAAGCATGTATTGAAATTCAAAGGAAGTATCCATTCTAAAATAAATAGATATCCATGGATATTATACAAGGAAAGTTAAAATCAAAAACTGATTCCCTACAAAGTTTTCTGCTATAGTTGAGGTTACACAGATAAAGACACCGAAGATGCTGAAGATGACGCTTTTTTATAAGTAATGTTGATCTTGGCAAGACTGGAAAAAGTCACTAGGAGCATAGATGGGAGGTAGAGTATTTGAGTTATGATTTGGACATTAATGAAGATGCGGATGAAGTTCACTTGCCGAATAAGTAGTGGAATGAAAATTCTAGTGAGGAGGGTAGTTTGGAGAGATACGATGAGTGGATGAGGAGCATGATGGTTACCTTGTTTTGAACCTTATTTTGCATTTCAGCACACTAGACTGAAATAGGGAATTTTGCTAAAAAATATCACTTTGATTAATGGGTTGAAATTCCCTACAAATGTTGCTTTTCAGCACACTTGATTGAAAAAGGTTATGAATACTATTTTTGCATACGATCAACCATAAAGTGGGAGCATATTGTAAAAAAAAAAAAGAAAAAAAAAAGGGTGTGATTGCCCTTGGAAGAAGGGGAAGAGGGTTGTAGTAAGTACATATTTAAGGTACACACTGGAAGGTTGAAGTTGGAGGAAACTTTTCTTATTAAAGAGCATGAGATTAGAGCATGAGTGTGAGTTTCAAACAGAAAATCTTAATGTTATGCAAAATTTTGGGGTGAGAGATAAGGTACTATAAGGCTTACTACTGCTAAGATGATAGCATTACAAAAAATTCATGGTAATGCATCTCGCTACGAAAGGATATGGGATTATGCAGCTACAATTCAGAAGTACAATCCAGGATCTAGTGCATTTGTAGTTGCAGATGGGATTGACAGCCTCCACCCTTTTTCCGGAGGATGTAAACTTGTTTCAAAGCTTTGTAAAGATGGCTTTGTACAATGTTGCATACCCATTTTGGGAGTAGATGGGTGTCCTTTAAGGGGAGTATTAACTAGAATATGTTTGGTTTATCTTATTGCTTGAGCTATATTTGATTTCTTGATTTGCTCAATTCTAACGTAGAATCACTTAGCTTCATGAGAAAGAGCATATAACTTTCATGTCTAAGACAAAAGGTACTTGCAACTCGCACATTTTATTTCCTAATTGTTTAGCTCTTTGGACTTATTATGTACTCCATGTGTTCATGTAGTTCTTCCTATTTACTATAGAAACACATACCAAGAATAATAAATAACATAAAGTATACTAGTACATGTGACTACTTTATGAGGAGAGAGATAGCGTTAATAAGATAAATGTCCCAAAAGTAGGGCAAGTTACGGAAAAATAATATTATTTCCTTGGAAAAAAGGAAAGAGTTACGGAAAAAACTTCATGAAACAGCCTATATGAAAAGTAGGAAGTATTTCATGAAAGGAGATAGTACATGGAAAGATGGTTACTTTCCAGCTTCTTGTATATAAGCATTAGTTTAGCCTTAATGATATAACCTTACAATCGAGAAAGTATTCAACAAACATGAAAAAAAGCTTTAAAAAGAGAATCTTTAGATTGGTGAAAGAATGTGAATACCTTATGATCTAAAGGAGTATGCACAGTTAAGTCACATTAGCACTGTCCATTGTCCACTAACAATATATAACTAGTTTTAATACAAAATGTATACAGAATCCACACATGATAACAGTTCACATATAGACACATTTCACATATAATTACACCAACACTTATAGACTTTCACTGCTTAATTGCCGAGTGAGAAGTATATCCACCCTTCTTTTTTGTAAACAACAAATTAAATTCTATAAATGAAGAGAAATGACCTACAATGTACAGATTCCCTTAAAACCAAAACTAATGACAACTCCTCAATGAAAACTCTATCACTAATTCTAGTTTTATGGTTAAAATCTTTTTAACACTCACATCAAGTTTGATGTCATGTATATTTTCCTTTTCTTTTAACTATGAATATTTCATACCTAATATCATGCTTCTCCCTTTCTTAATCTAGCTAAATACTATTACTGTGGATGCAAACTTAGTAGGTTATAGTTTTGGGCTGGTGCCCAAGACTAAAGATTGAGACCTATCTACATCATTGCCCTTTGTGATAGAAAGAAATTTTTTTTGCACGACTCTACCTCCAATGATACATGAATAATCATAAATAAATAGAGAAATGGCTTGCAAAGCATTTCACTACTCTCTCCTAATATTTGCACAACTAAAAAAAGGAGGGCAAGTTGCTATCACCTGTGAAGGGAAGCGACGGATACTTTCAACCAAATATTGGTAAGACTCTCTATCTCCTGCAACCAACTCTCCCACGGCAGGAATGATAGAAAATGAATAGTAATCATATCTGCACAAAAGATGCGACATAAGATTATAGCAATCATTGTGGGACATTGTAAATGCTAGACCAATTACATGGAATTTTTGAATGGGTTCACATCAATTCAAATCAGAAATTATAAGTTTACATCAGTTCAAATTAAAAAACATAAGTTCAGATTAGATTAAAGAAGCAAAAATAAGATGAACTGAACTTAGCCTAAGCCTAACTGTTAAAAACCCCAACCTCCTTATAGCCTACAAAGATGCTAAATAAGTAATTCTATCCCACAGAACATCCCTAACTAATTATCCTGAAAAAGTTGCAAAAACCATTCTAACGCCAGACACCACATAATCACCATAAAGCATGGCAACACATCTCCTATACCCTTCCAATGCACACAAAATGAACCTGCCGATCCCTTCCAATGCACACAAAATGAACCTGCCACAGCTCATAAAGAGTTTGAGGATAACTAGGACTCCCCATGCACAGAAAAAAGCAACTTACCGACATTGCTTGCCATCTCACAATGAAGATGATCATGTGAGCAAGACTCACTTTGGCACAACACAGCACACACAATTGGCAAAACAGCCATCCCTAGTCATCTCCTTTGAAGCATATCACTAGTTTTAACTCTACCAGTTCGCACCATTGCTAACTAAGAGGCCAGCGTATAAATAGTCATTTTGTTGTCAAATGCATGCAAAAAGCCACCCTAAAACCAACGCATTTAACAGTATGGTGCACTTTGCACTAATTGTTATGCAATAAGCCAGTTGCCTTAGATCACAATCAAGAAGCTAAAGGTCCTTATGCATGAAGAAGAGTGCAGTGATAAGCATTACATCCAGAAATGGCAGTAATGAAACAAAATAAGAGTGCAAGAGCATGGCAAAAGGTCATAATATGCTCACAAATGCTTGAAAATAGGAGTTTCGACATGGCTTAATTCAAGACAAAGAAACCGCCCTCCACGTCTGAGTACCCTATAAAACATAGAAAACTAACTTAGCAACAATTTGAGTAAAAATCATAAATGGACATGTCATGATGACAAGTTTGCCAAAAAAGGGGGGGGGGGGGGGAGGGGGACATAAATATGCACAATGCAAAAGGTCTAATCAAGACATGCCAAGTTTTATATAGGAGAGCCTCCGTATGAGCCATGCAGAAAACCTCATATTACATTGCTGCTTATGCTAACAACTCTAAGGTAGTCTTAATGCCACAACTACCCAATCATACAACTACACAAGTTTCCAATCAAACATTTGGATGAAAATGTTAGTAGAAGAAAACTTCTACAATTAAATAAACTAAAACCATACTTTGCAGTGGAACCCAGAAAATATTCTATTAGTTCCTCTGTTATTGAAGCTATTTTAAAAGGTTATTTTGAGTGCCAATTTTAGTAGATTTAATAATTTACGTTACTATCAGAGCTTCATTGAATGATAGAAGCCGAAATGTAATTGTTCCAGAAAATAACCTCTAAATTGTTGTAAAATTACATTTTTGTATTGACAGTAAGTTCCACAATAAATTATTGACTAACATCAGAAGTTCACACATAGAATTTCAGAACAATCCAGCCTCTTACAAATGCAACTTGTGCTTACTGCATATTAGTATGCACTAGCAAGACCAGCCAACAAGTTACAAATCAAAGTATTCCATTCAGTGGTTCACAGTTTTCACACTAATATGCGTCAGTTGATATTGAGGCTTTTATCTGAAAAATAAATAAGGACACTTATCGCTAGTTTACCAGGCTAAGAATGTATTCAAGTCTCAAGAAGGCTATAAAAGCCACTGAAAACATACAAATTCTTCCTCATGGCTCTTTAAAGGGAAGTGCACAACCATATATACACTGTACATCCAGTCAATATTTTCAATAACTTAAAGCACTATTACAGGAATTTCCTGATCTAAATTTTGTACTGACATTCAAAGGTTCTTATCCTTGAGCAGTTAATAACTAACCTGTAGGCTTCTGCAAGAGCTTTTTCTATGTGCGTAACATTCCTGATCCCAAATGCAATAGTGTAGCCATCCATTGAATTATCTTCAAACTTCAAAGATTCAGCGTCACCCTCCACCCATATTAAAGACGTATCTCCTCCAAGACCTATACCGGTTGAAAACATCACAATAGTAAGCATTGACATAAGAAAGAAAAGAGCAAAGAGGAGATTTAATGAGGAAAAAAAAGGAAGAAACAGGATAGCCAAAGAATAGGGTAAAGTGTAATAGCAGACAAGCTAAAGAGTTTGGGTTAGAGCTTGCATAGGTTAGTTTATTTACAAAATGATCTAGTCTTAAACAATTCAATTTATTGATAAAAGTTAAGACATAACTAATTGCAGGCACAACTATACAAAAAGACTGATACATTAAATAATAGTAAAAATAATAAATAACTCTTGTTATGGAGCTTTGCAAATAAACTAGCCATGAATGACACAAGGCTCACTCACTTGGGTATACCTAATGACAGTTTCACTAAAAGTTTTCAACATAGTTAAAGTAGTTCCCAAGCAGGCAAGCACATGAACTCTAAGCAAGTGTGGCTTAGAAAACAACTGTCCAGGAACTGTTGAACTCAGAGCAAGCCCACTTCCCTTATAAGCTTCATCAATTGAGGGTGGAAACAGATTTGACATCTTAAATGAAAATAAATAAATTGCAAGACTTTTCAATTTTCCCAATAGTTTTAAGTAGAAAATCAAGTATAATACAAAAAGAGAAGAAACAGGTGGAAACATAGTGATATAATTTTTACAAAGTCCATAATTTTACCTCTTTCCAAAGCCCTCTTTTTACCAACATCTAACATCTTTGGGTTGATGTCACAAACATAGATTTTAGTTTCTTCCAGTAGATAATCTTTAGATGCATTTAGCAATGCTTTGTGCTTAATTGAATCCAAAACCCTGAAAGCAACATCACCTGCCAAATAAGAAAAGGCAACTATTACAAATAGCTTACAGCACATTTCATCCAAAATTAAATCCATTTTATGGCCCCGCATTACAAATCTTCAAAAAAAACAACTTATATGCCTATATGACTTCTCTCTTGATTTAAAGGTTTGTCATTTTTTCATATAAATATATGTACAAAATAGGTAGAGACAAAGAGGAAGAGTATCCATGCTAGACTATACTCAAGGCTCTACACACCCTATTTGATTAGTAAAGTGTGCATTTATAAAGATGAGACCTCAAGCTAAAGAAAAAGTAATGGAACTTAAAAAAAAAAAACAAAACAAAACCCTCTGCATGAAGCAATTTATTGCTAATTAAAATTATGATAATGATCCAGCCACAATTGGAAACAACATAATCTAGAAAGACCTAGATATCTCACAGTGCCAAAGAAATTAACCTTGTCTCACAACGTGTAAGCAACTAAGCACAGGGCATAAACATTTGGGGAAATATGAAAAATATTACTATATTTATTGTAATACTCACTTGCAAACTCTTTCCTCCTTACAAACTCTCTCTCCCAAGTTCTCTGGAGTTGCAGGCAACTAGACAAGTGCATTAAAGATGAATGAACTTCTCTACATGAATTAAATGAAGCAAATTGCAAAAGCCAATTTCAAAAAAGTGCTAGGATAATATCAATATTGAATAATGAATTTTTTTTGAAGCAATTAAGCAGTTATAATTGTACATAGTGGGTAGCAAAACATGTTTATTCAATTTTGGAAATTAGAAATGGATTGGGATTAGTCTTTGTTTTTAGGAATCAAGAAACGATAAAGGGTGCTATGTTCATTAGTTAATTTTAAACTTCCGGGTACCTAATCACTTGACTTGGAGGTTTATCAACTACTGCAAACTAAGGGTACCCAAATCTGAAAACCCTATATAAAATCATTTTAATATTACATGATGAAGACTAGACCACATTAAACTAAAGATCTAACTTATTAAAATTTTGGATGAGTTTATTAATAAGTTTTGTCACACACAAAAACATAAGGCTTCACTTTAATAACTATTCATATGCATTTTTATAAGACATTTTTATCCAAAAATGCAAGGTTAATTAAGACAAGGTATCCTGCAAGGCTACAAAATAATCCTTTGTATTTTTGGAAAAGTGTTGGTGTTGGGGTTTGTGAAGTATGAGTGTGTGTGTGTGTATATATATATATATATATATATATATATATATATATATATATATATATATATATATATATATATATATATGTAGTAAAAAATAAAAAAAAATAAAAAAAAAAACTAAATAGCAGGTATTCTTTATTTTTTTCCAAGTGAGGTACGAGAAAGTAGGTACCATAATTCTTTAAGGGAGTAGAATGAAGATATAAGAGGAAAAAGGAAAACATTACAATATTATTTAGACAAGTCAAGGGAGAAATGGAATGTCTTATTTGAGACAAGCAATAAGAGAGAAATGAAGAGTTTTTTTTTGGGGACAGAGGGAATAATGGATAAACATATCTACAAATTAGCCAAATTCCTTTTATTTTTCGCATAGAATAATATGGGGAGTTGGTAGTCCACAAAGAAGCCACCAAAGTGACTTTATCCCACAATATATCAAACACGACACCATAGCCATTGAACGTTTGTCATTTCTACTTAACTCAAACACCTCAAAGCCTCAAAGGATAGCCATCACTACATTTCTCCAAAGCAAATTCTCCACCCTCCCCAAACCCCACAAAGTGAATCCAAAACCACTCCTATAGTCCTTCATAATCGAAGGAACTAACCAACAATATCACATTGAAGGAAATCATGAGAACATGACTCGATAGTAGCTCTGTAAAACAAGCAAATTTTAATCTCCTCTTTTGAAGAAAATCATACCTATTGATACTTCCCAAAGCTAAAGTCCACACCAAAATATCACCTTAGAAAGAACCTTCACTTTCTAGATAAGTTTTCTAAGGGGAGGACAAGATATTTGGCGCAATTAAGACAAAAAAGGAATGATTTGCAAAAAAATTCCTTGAATAATCTCCAATTAACACTCTAAATTCTCCTCAATTTCTAATTGAATATCCAAAATGCAAACATAGACTTGATCATTTTTTTATTTTATTTTTTTTTTGGTGGGGGGGGGGGGGTGGGGGGGACAAGGGGATCCTAAAGATTAAGTACCTCACAAAACTGCAATTTATCCTAAACACGCATGTAGAGTGGATGAATGATAGACGTGGGTATAAGGTACAAAGAGGTTGCTATATATCCAAACGTCTACTCAAAATCCCAATCCCAAAAGTGGATTCTTTTACCAACTCTATCTTGAACCTCACTAGTGGGGTAACTAACTAAGAAACTTGTGAAATGACTTTCCATTGGGCAATTGTGAGTCATCCATCTTTAGAATCTAATTTGACACAAAATTACTTGCTTTTAATGAAGTGTACTAGAATGACAACTCCTCAAGAGGAAACTTTCCCCAAAACCCCTTTATAGTTCTACCAAAGCAAAATATTTTGAGATCACCCACCATACCCCAAGCCTTCCTCTGCCTTATGACAAACAAAACACTGCTAGATCTTAAAGTCCAAGATCATCATGCCATTCCCCTCCAATCAAACCATAAAAAATATGTTTTAAGGAAAAGCATCTAAATTTGCTACAATGTCTACATTTTTTTCACAGACCCTATGTTCTCGACAACCTTTCCAAAAGCATCGAAGCAAAAGTGTCTAAATTTGCTATATTTTCTTGTAGTGTAAGTATCTTGGATTTTTGGGTTGTATAAGTATTGAACTATTTATGTGTTCAAGTAAAGGTTTTTTTTTTTTTCCTGGTTAAGTTTATGCCAACTTATGAGACATCCGTAGTCCATCCCTCCGGATTGAATGTCCACCACTGACAATTATAAATCATCTACCATCAATATATAAAATTGAAGTGGCACTTATATGTTGAAATTAAACTAAACTAAACTAAAAATAACAATAATATTCACTTCAATTGAAAAGAAAACAACTTAAAGTTCAAGCTGGTGCATTTAAGTGACAAGATATGCACTAAACGATGTTTCCTATTATCACTACATGAAAACCAAAATGTATAACTGTCTAACTCTATAATTTTAGAACATGCCAGAAGGGAAGCACTGAGATTATCAAACCAGTAAGGATGTCAGTAGTTCAAGATAATAGTTACACAAGTTCCTAATTTCACAAATCATGAGCTTGGAGAATTCATCTCCTAAAGTTGATCGTGCTTTACAGTTATCATCATACTTTCTCTCATGCCACAGCACTGCACTGAATTCCAATACATACAATAATAAGTTAAGTCAGGGCATGAGAACTGACCTGTTCCACCAGCCACATCCAGATGCTTCATTCCAGGGAATGGATTCAGTTCTTCTACCAATCTGACAGCATAAGATACAACATTGTGATTGCGATTGAAGTGAAAACCATGACAGATTAATAATTGATAATGAGGGAAGGGGAGGTGAGGGTAAAGAGAGCAGAAAAAGGGAAGCTTCCAATTTTCTTCGAACATTCCAACATTAGAAAGGTTTATTTGAATCCCTCAATTTCCCTTCCCTCCAAGCTCCCCTCATTCCACATACAAACCAGTTTAAAAAAAATGGGGCCCCCGATGTCCCTTCCCCTAAATGCCCTAATTAAATCACACTGTAAATGATAAGCAACTTCAGTGACTTGTCCACTACAATCAGAAACAAACCTATCTTTCCATAATCTGTGCAGACCACCACTCATTAAGTCATTCATCAAATCATAACTTGAAGCAACATTTGAAAAGACATTTCCAACCATCTGACTTTTCTCCTCTTCACGCACTTCCTTAAAACCTGAAAGAAATTGTAAAGAACGTGGATTCATTGCATGGTCGTAAGAAGTACAAAGTAAAAAACAACAATTAATTTATTGCATGAGGATCTCACTGTAGACAGCCATTCAACCAAATTTGCAGAAACCCGCAAAAAGATATCGCATAAGACAGCGAATTGGTTCATACCCAGTTGAAAATGTGCTACTTAAAACTGTCTACCGCTATTACAATTATGATATACATAAATGGGATGCATTATGAAACACATACTAATCCTCTTGCGTATTCATACTTGCCTCATATTCAAGAATCCACAAATGTCACACCAAACAACGAATAAAGAAGAAAACTAAATCAGATTACATACACTCATCAACTTTTTTTAAATCGAATAAATAACAATCCCACTCGATATATATACACTGGTTACTGGTAACACTACACAACAATTCAAAATAGTCATTCCATACGAATTTGATACTCACATTGCTAGTTCAAACTACACTATCAACGGCTAGTTCAAACTACACTATCAACGCGACTATTAATTCCAAGCGAAAGGAACATTGAATTTGTAGCATTGTTCAATGTCTAATACAGTAAGGTCAAAACGGAACGAGGGGGTTACAACATTACCAACGGACGGCATACGTGTAAAATTTGCTCACTAAGTGCAGCACAATCTACGAATTTTAAATCAGAATCACTAGAATTCAATTAATTTGCACTAAAACTAACTAATTAGCCAGAAAATGAGATCAGAACGAAAATTAATCAAAAACAGCCCAATAACCAAATTTAATCAGCAAAAGAGGTGCTTATTCACACAAACATTCAATTGAAAAAGGTGATTATTTACCGAAACTAGTGGCGTGGGAATGCAGACGAGAAACGGAAGATAGAAGAGGCAAAAGCTTAGAGCGCGAAGCTCTCGTAAAAGCTCGCAACGCCATTGTTGGTGTGGTGATGTGGATGTTCGATTGCCGCTGACCGAATTCTTTAATATAGAGTAGTTGGAAAAAATAGCATTTGTTTGAAGAGAAAAAAAAAATGAAGTGTTAAAATTGTTATTCGGTTTTTAAGTTTGGAAAAATACACTTTAATAAATAACAATACCAAGTATTAACGATTTAATTTTAACTAGGTTAATTCCGTGCGATGCACAGTTTAAATAATTAAAAACTTACTTATATTTGTGTAATATAAATAGCAAAACATAACAAATTGTGATTGATCCCTTTAGTTAGATTAATTAAGCTAAAAAAATATCCTAATTAACTTCATAGTTATAATAATTTTTTTAAAAATTTTAGCATTCGCTTTTGATTCATTATAGAAATGTCAAAGAATTAATAAAAAGGGAAAAATAATTCAAACTCTACTATCACTAATAAATTGTGTAATTACTCATTTTAGCCATAAAAGTTTTTAAAAAAATGTATAATTAATCAATAATTTTCAAATATTAGCTTTATTTTTAAAAGGAACAAAAGAAGAAGAAGAAAAAGAAAAGAGAGAATGAAGTCACAAATAGTTTCCCTTCAAAAAAAAAAAAAAAAAAAAGTCACAAATAGTTTAGGAGGGAAAATTTTTTATAAGAAGGTAACACATGTACATTAGTAATGTTTGCGATAATTACTTTAGTATTAGTTATATATAATCCCAACTTAGGTTTATTATTATTTAATAAACCTAAGTATAGGGTCAATTTTCCTCCAATGATCCCAATAATCGATGACCTCATGAAAGAGAGTTTTTTTTTTTTTTTTTTGGTTTTTAATAGGCACGTGGTATTGTGTGAATGGTCCAAAATTTTAAATTTAATAAAAAAATATCAAAATCTTTAAAAAAGTTAGTTGAAAAAAATATAAAATCCAGCCACCCATTTCCCAACCCAACCTTTGTCGAAAACCTAACCCCATCCCCTATGTTCGTCGAAAACCGGCTAGCTACCTCCATTGACCACCGAAATCGGTCGGCCGGTTCTCTACCACCACATCTAACCTAATTCCAACCCCTGAAACCAGCCACCCAGACCCCTGAAACCAGCCGGGTCAATCACCGCAGACAGACACAATCAAGAATACTAGAACAGCAGCAAATCAAAGCGATCGTCGGCACCGGCGATTTCAGCAGTGGGGCTTAGGCAGACCTCTCGATCTTCATAGAAAATGGCGGAAACTTATAGTCGTGGTTGGTGGTTTTTGGGGTCGGGTTGGTTGGGCGGGTGGTTTCAAGGATCGAGAGTAGGTTAGTTGGGGTGGTAGAGAGCTGACCGGCCGTTTTTGGTGGTTAATGGGGTGGCTGACCGGTTTCCGGCGTGTTAAATAGGTGTGGTTAGGGAATGGGGGTGGTTGTTGGTGGCTGAGAAATTTTTGGGTTTTTTTTTTATTTTTTTAATTATTTTGGACCAATCACGTGTTGACACGTGTCATGGTAACCTATAATAACATGTCATTGACTTTGTGTTGATCGGTTGGAACTATGTAGGAAAACACATAGTATAGTTGGGATTGTTAAAAGTAAATCGCACATATTTGAGATTATTAAAGTGTATTTTTCCTTTTAGTTTTTTCAGTTTCGTCATTTTACAAAGAAAATCTATACTATCCTTAAAAAAAGGGGGGGGTCTATACTTCTATTTTAAAACATGAAGTTGGAAGGAGTCGTGTCCTTTTCCTGTTTTTTCAAATTATAAAAAAAATAACAAAAAAAATGTTATGATTCCTTTACAAATACTTTAATTTTTAAACTAATAACTTTATACATAAAAATTGATCAAATAAATAAATAAATAATAAAAAAAAAAAGTTTTTCGCAATATAACGTAGTTTAAGTCTATGTTTTACTTTAAAAATACTTTTTAGTTGTTTTTTTAAAATACGACAAAATTTACTTTTAACTAAAAAATATAAATTAAAAAATTCAATCTATCTCTCCTAACTAACTCATGAATACATTTTTTTATTTAGTCCGTAATTGCATATCTAAACCATTTTTTAAGATGCGATAGATAGATAATATTAAAAAAAATATATATCCATGTGATAGAAAAGAGATAGATTGAGTTTATTAACTAAAAAAGAAAAATAATTTGAAACTTTCTTTTCAGAAAAGTGATGCAACTAAAAAAAACGGATGAAGTTTATAAAGAAAAGATAACAGTAGAGAAGATGCATAAATACAAGGCTTTTTTTTTCTCAAAGGGCATAAATACAAGTTTTTATTTTAGAAAAAGGAGATAAAAGTGTTTATCAAATGAGTCCTCATAAATGCAACGGGTTTTTCACCATATGCCCCTAAGTTTTTTGTTTATTCACCATAAACCCCTGAAATTTTTTATTTTATCATATACCCCTGAGTTTTCCAAAAAAAAATAATTATAAAATACACCATATACCCTTGATGGCTAATGATTGTTACTTTTGTCAATCATTTGGGTTATGGATTTTTCACCAAATGCCCCTGATTTATTTTTTTATTCAACATATATCCATGAAAGATTATCAAAATTCACTATATACTCATGACTTTCACAAAAATGTCATTAAATACCCAAATGACTAACATATGTCAATTCCGTTAGTCATTAATATGCCACATGGCATATTCTAATTGGTTCATTTTTATTATTATTTTATTTAACAAAATAAAAAAAAAGTAATGATAAAAAAAAAAAAAAAACCAAACCCCTAGCCACTTTCCCCACCGCACCACCACCCCCATGGCAGGCCCAGCCCTTTGCCCCAACCCCCATCGGCAACCAACCTACCCCACTGCCTGCGCGTCATTGCGCGTTAGCAAAGAATCTGCCCCTAAGCCCCAACTCGTTGGTAACCCTTCCTTTAAGCCTCCTCGTCCACGGGCAAAAACCCTTTTTTTCCTCGAAAAAATTCTCCCCTCCTTACCGTCGGCGTCCAAACTCCCCTACCCATGCAGGCGAACACAAATCACCCCTCCCCCTACCATCACTAGTTCAGCACCCCCTGAACCACCACGCCGAAACCCTAATATCTAAAACTAGGGTTTTGACTTTGGGTTTTTAGGGTTTCGAAGTGGTGGTTTTGGCTAAGGTGGGCCGCGACGTCGTGGGGTAGGGGGTCTGGCTACCGTCGAAGTGGTTTCAAGGTGGTGGCTTGGGTTTGGCGACGGTGGAAAGCGGTTTACGATTCAAGCTAAGGCAGGAAGGAAGAGGGTAAAGTGGTTTAGTGGAAACAGCGGGCACCGACGCGAGGTTGGTGGGAGGGGTGGTGCCGGTGCGGGGCTGGTGGGAGGTGGGTGGCGGTTGTGGGGAGGTGGCTGGGCGCGCAGGGTTGGTCCATTGCCGGCAAAAGGTGAGCGGTTGGTGGTTTGAGTGCCGGTTTTTTTTAAAAAAAAAAATTCTAAGTTTTTTTTGGTTAATAGTTAATCAAATAATTTAAAACAAAAAAAACCAATAAGATGCAGCCACGTGGCAAAGATTAGCCCTAATTACTAACGGAGCGTCCGTTAGTTATTTGGGCATTAAGTGACATTTTTATCAAATGTAGGAATATATGGTGAATTTGAAAATTTCCATGGGTATATGGTGAATAAAAGAATAACTCATGAGCATTTGGTGAAAAATTCGTTAGGGTTAATTATCAACCTAAACCACCCTAAATACATTCCCCTACCCCCGATATTACCCACATTCCTTTTTCTCACCCCAAAAACCACCCTTAATTTCCTTTTCTCATCCTCAAAAGCAATCATACGGATATGGTTATGGAGATTTAGAGTGGTTTCGGAGGCTGAAGAAAGGAGATGAGTGGATTTGGGGATGAGGGAGAGAAATCTAAGGTAGTTTCGATGTATAATTAACCAAATTTCACTCGTTTATTTTCATTATGGGTATATAGAGAATTTTTATAACAACTTAAGGGTATATGGTGAATTTGAATATTTTCATGGATATAGTGAATAAACAAAAAAACTCAGGGTATATGGGGAAAAAATCGTAAATACAAAGAAACAACTTATGCGTTATCCCGTAAACAAAATTAAAAAAAAAATTATGAATTATTATGCCCCATAATTTTGTACATAATACAAGATAGGTGAATTTGCATGGGGTATTTTTATGGGGTATTTTTAATAGTGCAATTCACTATTGCATTGGGGGCTATGAGTACTTCTTAGGGGACGGCAAGAAGTGCGGCTAAGCATTAATGACAAAGAAGATTGAAAGTATGGACATTCACTTTACATTGACTAATTAAGCAAGCTCTTAACACTTCCCCTTGAAAGCCCTTTTTTTTTTTTTTTTTTTTTTTTTTTGAAAGAATGCCCATATTATTATGTGGTTTGCATTATTAAATCCTTACTAGGTAAAACCCTTTGGGCCTTTGGGATGAAGAAAAAAGAGTACAATCCCATAATTTGTTAGTATATGCTTTAATGTACAACCTCATTAGAAACATTTTCACAAAAACCCCAATGGGATAGAAACTTGATTGAAAAAACAAAGACTGCAGTGCATATAATTCACCATTTGGTTTTAACATAGCTCACAAAGATGTCGTATCCAAAATTGTTTAAAATTCTTCGAAAGAAGAAACTTTATAAACAAATTGGCGAGATATTTTTGTGATTGAATTTGCTAGACATTTATCTTCCTTTATTTTTGCAAATTGTATTTGATGAAAATCTTCGGAATATGTGTTTAGTCCTTTTGAAGTATCCTTTGGTTACTTGGGAGTTGCATGCAATATTATTGTCTTCGAAAATGATGGTTGGTATTCACTTACTCCTTTCATCCAAACTCTTCTTGGATATTGTCGATCATTGATACGAGCCATACACATTCACATCTTACTTCATAAAGAGTGATCAACTAACCTTACATGATTTGATGAGGTTGTGGCTAAAGTTTGCTTTGGTAATTTCCAAGATAATGCAGTGACACCACAAGTGAACAAATATCTAATTTGTGACTTGACATTTTGTGGGTCTGATAGATAGTATCCTGCATATGCATATATGATGAGAATGACATCTTGTGTTCCTTGTAGGTACCTGTAGAC